CCTCTCAGACACTCTGCCCACACTGTCAGCGATCGCTACATACACAGACTTAATTCATTCTTGTTGTAAAGGCAATTAAAAAAAAAAGTGTAACTCATCCTTTTTTTCTCATTTTTCCACAATTTGTGTGTTTGTTGACAGCTCCACCCAATGTTCTTTACCTCCCACCTCTCCATTCTTTTTTACCGCCTTCATTGTTCTGGCAGACAGTCCTCTCTTGCTTTATCCAGTCATCTCTTGTTCACCCATCCATCCTGTTCTCCCCCAAGGGATTATTCATGCTTGGCCTGGCTGCTCACACCTCTCTCCCAGGCTGAGAGGCACCGATCCAATAACACACCCAGCTCCCAGGCTGTGGAGAAGGGCAAATTCCATCTTTGTTTGATTTTTTTTTTTTTTTTTTTTTTTTTTTTTTTTGGTGGATGGGGGGTTAACGCAAGAAGAAGGAAATACAAAAACCCCTCAAATCTTTATTTCATGGAAAGTGTAAACATTAACTGTAGTTTGTGCAGATATTTGAGCACCTCATAATAAAAGCTGCCAGTGATGGTGTTTCGGGTATGTCTCGGATCTGTTTCATTATTTGAGTGCATGACATTTTCATCCAGAATTTGCTGACATTTAAAGATATCCCGTCTTCCTGCTATCTGTGCCAATGACTTCCAAAAACCCTAAAGTAAAGTATTTCCCAACCACCTGGTTATCAGCAGGCAAGGTGCTCTTTTAAATTAATGCTGCTCATTTTTTGCCAGAGAGCTCAGTCTTTACTTTATGTACTCAAATCATTTTTTTTCCATAGTCACTACTCCCGTGACCACAAACCCTTCCTGCAGCTTCTCTTCCATACCAGGGGTTTGGTTTTCCTACCTGCCAGGGAAAAGTAGAATTTTCTTGGAACATTTTCTGGCATTTTATGGTGATAAAAATAAAAATGTGTGTCCTGCATATATTTTTAGTTCTAACTTCAAAGATCAACAATACGTATTAGTTTTTTTTATACCTGCATGTTCATCTCCTGTCAGCAGCTGAAGTTTAGCTAAATCTGATCTGATACTTCTGCTTGTCTGAGCATTTGTGCTTCAGCTTCATGCGGCTCGCCAGGCTTAAACTGAAGCACATATCAGCACTTCTTCCACCATTTCATTGGATTTTTAATTGAAGTGATACTTCAACTTAACTGAGCTCTCACACCGAAATCGGAAAGCAGTCTCTTTCATCATTTTTATTTAATGTCTTAAATGCTTCTTGATTTTAATTTCAGCTGCCACATACTTTGAAATATTTTGTGAGAAATCTTTTTTTTTCTCTAAATTCAGACTTTCCGCAGCAAGCCTCTGGAAAGCTTTACAGTTCCTGTTGTCATTCCACTGACAAAGTTTGGCTGACACACTTGAACTGACACTAATTTCTCTCAGCTTCTCCACTCTAACTCACCCTTCAACCTTAATTCATCACTTACACTTACGCAGACATTTCCACTCGTTTCAGTGCTCGAGGGTAAAACTGAATCTTTAAGTGTTTTCAGCACTTCCCGATGCTTCAACCTCAATCAGTTCACACACTTAATCGGACGCTGTAATTGTATTTCGGCTGCTGCTTTCCTCAATAGACATGCTTTTCTTGTTATAATGTTTCATGTACATTTTTTTGCAGATTAACGAACCCCCTATTTAATTCATTTCCACTGACCGTGTCATCTATGTAAAGGCAACAACCTTAAAATCTCTTGCTGAGGACAGAATTAGGTCTAATTTCACAGGACTAAGGCTGCATCGCTGATGAGTGATGTTCTCTCTGTCTACCTTAGGTGCTGATGACTTGTTGTTGCTTGACTGAACACATAGTTTAGCACTAATCGCATCACTGCTCAGCAATAATCACCAGTTGGGAAAAAAAATCCTGATAGGTATGCACAGTGTAGAACCTGCACAAACCCATAGTCACTATTTTGCACTTTAAGCTTATTGATTAAAGATTGAATTTATTTTTAATTTCCCATTAAGGCAAAAATCATTTTAACTTCTGAGGGAAGTATAAACACACTAGATTTAAACTTGCACTGTACAAGTCAGGCTGGCAATTCCAGTCCAGCATTGCCATAAAGTCTCAAAGTAGCCATAAAATCTTTGACAGACACCTCCTCCCTTGGCAAATGCTTCCAAATATTTCCATTTCTTCTCTGCTGTAAAGTGCTGGATCACTCGTGCTTGTGTGAGCACTTTGGAACCTCCCATTGTCCTTTTCCTCTTCCATTTCTATTCAACCGCAGCTTACAGCACATACTGCAACCTCCCAGAGACTTCATTGTCCCAGATATCTGCCCTCTGATCAGTACCCCAGTCCCAACCTGTACCAGGGTGATGTATGGGGCCTGACAGCTGAGTTGTTCAGGGAGGACCGGGTAAGGAGATGAAAAGGGCAGCTCACAGACAGAGAGCTCTGGGAGTCCCCGGGATGCAGAAAGGTAGATGTTATTTGTACACGTGTAAATGTACTTCAAATGCGGTCTTTCTGTCTCTGTAAAACCCTCCTGGCTTCAATACTGCAGTTTAGGAACAATGTTGATTAGAAGTGGCATTTTATTTTCTTCTTTTTGTCAGGGGCTGTTTGTCAGACTGGGGGCTTTGCCAGAGAGATTTTTTTTATGGCCTGAGTTAAAATTATATGGTGGAATCTAAACAACAAATACTCCACGAGTTAAAAATCAAAAGACAGACAGCCCAATGATTGTTAACACTCATAGCATCTGATATTAAATAAACACAAAATCTGTGCAGCCCTGCGGTACATTAATGATGATGGTTTATGCTTAAATAGCTTTAAATTTATTGAATTGAGCTCTTTTTGTTGAGAAGCTGCATATTTCCACTGGAGATGTTTTGTCCAGAAGTAAATATCATATAACTATACGTCTTGAACATAACCAGTTTATGTTCAAGACACTTCAGACATATGCTTTACCATGGGTTTAATGCCAATATGACTATTTACCTTGACTCTTCGAATCTTCAACCCATCACTCATAGCTGCCACTATAGCACTCAATGCGCAAGCATATTTGTCAGATAATGATCTCTTCTGTGCTTGATACACATACAGATTTTCAAAACAAAACCTGTTCTGTTTTCAGTGTCTGTTATTGCATTTTTCTTTATATAAACATGTATTAGAGATGGACATTTTCAGCATTAATACTCAGGATGTAGGATGTGGCATTTCATAAATGCTTAACTTGTACTAATGAGCCATTACACACATACATCACCAGCCTGAACCTTTAATACTAATGCGGATGGATTCATGCTTTCATGATGTTTACACCAATTTCTGATCCAAATACTGCATCAGATATTGAGACTCGTGCAGGCAGCATTTTTCTAATCTTTTTTTTGTGCAATTTTGGAAAGGCAACGCAAACTTTAGCCGTAGCTTCCTGTTCTTAGCTGATAGAAGTGTGACCCAGTGTGGTCTTCTGCTACAGTAGCCAGTCACCTTCAAGGTTTGATGTCATGTGCACTGTTTGTAACGAGTGGTCACTACTACTTTCTTAACAGCTCGAAGGAGTCTGGCTATTCACCTCTGACCTCTGGCCTTAACAAAGTGGCCGGTGAGTGTCTGTGGGTCCTGAGTGCCTTTTTAACTACGAAGCTGAGGTCAGTGATAGAGACCAGCAGAAAGCAGAAGTAAACAATCAATGGGGACGCAGGATGTTAGAGGAAAGAAAAAACAGGCAATGAAAAGAGCAACAGGATATTAGAAGACCAAGAAAGACAAAAGAAAACAGAAGCCATGATATAAAAGGAAGCAGAGAAAAGAACGGATGGGTTGAGGCAAGGCAAGCATTCGGATGTTTTGACACTCTGTAAATCGATTGAAGGCTTGATGCCAAACACTGAAAAGTGTCGTGTGGATCAAGCTCTGCAGCCATTAAAGCAAAAGCAGATTTTTTGTGTGTTGGCAGGTCCAGGATCTGCCTCAGTGGAGAAGAAAATAACACATATGGTGTTGTCAGATAACATATTAGCAGAGTGGTGTGGGGTTACGTACAGACCTGTAAAAAGTCAAGCAAAGTGTGCACTGTATAGACTCAAGTATATTTTTTTTAAATATATGTATAAGCTCTAGTGTGTGTACATGTGCAATGAAGATTAAAAGAAGGATCAGTTAGTGAAAGTGTCAAATGTCTTAGTTATAGTCCTCTGTGTTGAGGCCACGTTAACCATGAGAGAACCATGCCACACGTGTCCACAGCAACAAACCTAAACACGATCTTGTCAGTAAAGACAGCCTAATCTAATTTGCACAGCTATGGGAAATTATGAAATAAACTGCAGTGCCCATACACAGGAGCGCCCTAGGCAGGGACGTGCACTCTCATCAAACCACAGCAGATAATTTGTTCCAGGGCTGCTAATGAACACTTGGCTGTGGTGTTTGACCCAAGAAATGATTGTACAAGCAATGAATACATCATCACAGAGCCGTCTCTGTCGCCCTCTGTACTGCCTACTCTTCATCCCTCCTCTAATCACAAACAGGCGCATTCCTGTAGCATGGAAGCAGGCTTTAAAGCAAGGTTCTGCCACGTTTCAGGAATGAGGCACAGAGCTAAAGCTGCTAAAGCCCCCTGATGAAGGGGTCTAAGATCTTATTCTTCCACTTTCAAACAAAGCTCAATCCATACCTTCCAGCAAAGCATACACGTGAGTAAATAGGCTAGCAGTCCCCATTTTACTAAAATAACAACAGAAATGAACTTTAGCAGTTTGTCGCTAACACGTGTGTGTGGGGGAAATTTTCCTCAGAGCACACTGTGACCTAGTTCTATCAGTGGCTATACACAAGAGGGTTATAATACCTGAAAGAATAAAGCTCCCTTTATTGTTGTCCTTGCACTGGATTTCTTGTGAGTGGCCTACTTTGATGTTAGTGAGTTGCTCATTTTCATATTATTTCCATTGTAACTGTTCATGTATATATGCGTATGTTCCCCTATTCAGACTCCACGGTGGCATATAGACCTGGAGCCCTGGGCCAGTGAGAGTCAGTCACTGGAGGATGAAGCTAAAAGGTTCCTCAGCTACATCACAACTCAGCAAGTGAGAATTTTTTTAAAATTTCATTTGCTACCTAAATGTATTTTTGATTATTATTCATTTAAAATGCCAACATTAAAACCACTGACAGATTAAGTGTAAATGGACTGGTTCTTATATAGTGCTTTACTACTTTACCTGAGCACTCAAAGCACTTTATACACCATTCACACTCATTCTTACAAGCACTGTTTTCTATGCTGTTTCTATACAAGTGCTTTTTATTTAACGTTCACACACATGCATACACTGATGGATGCGTTGGAGAGCAACTTGGGGTTAGTATCTTGCCCGGGGATATTTGGCATGCTTACTGGAGCAGCCAGGGATCAAACCACCAACCTTCTGATTAGTAGGTAACCTGATCGACCCCCTGTTGGTTCTTTTTGTTTTTATGAATATTTTCTAATATAATTTTTTTAATTGAGGTCTAGGTCTGTTTTCTGAGCTCATTAAAAGCACTTTTAATATTATTTTTAGATATCTGGTCATGACAGGACAGCCACAATGCAAACATATGATTTTTAATAGACTATGATGCATATTGATCATTTAACTCTTAAGGGAAATATTTAAATTGAGAATAAGTACTTTTACTTCTGATGCTTTATAGCTTGCCTACACCTTCCTGATGTCCACTATTAAAGCCCTATTCAATTATTACTGTGACATAGTGTACTTTATATTTACTATTTATTTCTTATTTGCGATATTGGCTGTGCTTAATGATGCAGTGCAAGCACCATCGATTGGGGGATTAATCATCTTTAACTTTTAATCACATTTTCTGTCCTCAAAGCAAAAATTAACCTGACACTGAATGCAAATCTAAGACTAGAGTTTGAGGCAAAAATAAATAAAGTAGTTAAGCCATGAGACACATACCTTTGGCTGCTTTTTAAAAAAAATAAGACTGCATCTCTTAGCCCATGATTGAGCTGCACTGGCATCTCTTTCACATTCAGCATAGCCAAAACATTTTTCTTGCCCTGACAGTAAGCAACTAATTCATTACTCTATTGATTACTATACAGATGGAGCTCACAGCCCCTCTATTCAGATCTAATCAATGAGTTGTTGTGGTTTGCTCCTTGGACTGCATCAGTATTAATTACTACAAATGAATGAAGATGTTTTGCATCATAATAATAAGAAAAAGGAAAAATATAAAAAGGAACTGAGAAAGGTTGGAATTTTGGTTGGAAGGTTGGAAAATCTTTGTCTCTACGATGGAGGCATTCTTTGAACTCATGTAGTTTGTGTGTGCGCGCGCGCGCGCGTGTGTGTGTGTGTGTGTGTTTTTCTATTGCAGTAAATTGGCTTGGAGACAAATCAACATCTTATCTTTATCCCTCACACAACATAGCCAGAACACAGAGTACCAATCTCCAAATGACTAAGCATCACTCAGTCTGTCTTTCACAAAGCAGAAATTTAGTTCATTATGAATTAGTGCTGGGTTGTGCGTGTGTGTGTGTTTAGGTACTTTTGGATTTTTGTGCGTGAGGAAGGAAGGGACAAGGACAGGAACAGAGAGAAAGAGATCTTGTGAGCATGTGTGTACAAGTGTGTGTTTGTGAGGAGCTGTGGAAGGGAACTGTCTGTCATTGACAGTGACAGGCGAGGGTGGAGGGAGCTGGTGTGGGGATAGCAGCATCCTCTGCTGTAATGCTGACTGACATAGTGCCTGGTGGAACTGTTACTAAGAGAGATGGCCTGCGACACAACTGTCCAATCAATACCAGTCAGCAGCTTTCACGTGTTCATGCACAGATAAGAGTAAGTCTATATAAAAATATTAATAATACTACTAATAATAGTGTGAAATAATAAGGCAGCAGGAGCGTGGGATCAATTTCTGATTAGCTTATCAACAATAAGAATGAACTTCTCATTCACGCTCAGTGAATGTTCTCGGTTTTACAGCTCAGTATTCTTTGTAGCTTTGTTCAGCTCTCAGCAGCTCAATGCAACTGATATGTCTTTAGATGTGTAGTGGCAAAATAATCAAGAGTGATTTCGCATTTAATTTTCCACAGTGCATTGTATGCAGATAAACGCTTTCAACTCGAACACATTAACGATGACGGACATTGTGGAGAATGTTCAACATGTAAGAATTGGTTTAAATAGAGAGCAACAAAGACACATCGGGAGACTTTTGTCCTTTGTGAGATGGTGACACTGCACTTCAGTGATTCAGCTGGTTCCTTCCTGCGTGACCTGTCACAGAATGATCTCATTAAAATGGGCGATTTATACAAAAGCCACAGTAAGAAATTACGCCTAAGAGGTTCTTTTGAAACTGTACAAATCCAGCTTGCCAAAAAAGGGAAGGCTGGCAATGTAAACACGGCTAATGAGCAGTTTCAAATGTAAATTTCTTCTATTTTAGGAACAGTAAGTGGATTTATAAGGACATAGTACATTTCTTCTTACACATTTGCTTGGCTGCAAAACATCTGCCATCTGTGTCTTTTTACCTGAGTTAGGATCTAGAAAGTATTTCTTATTCACCATTGAATGTAAATGAAAGATGGATATAGCCGTCACCTACTAGTTATCAAAGTGCCATTTTGAAAATTTAGGCTGAGTGTTTTAAATGTGTTGTGTTTGGAAAGCAGACATTATAGCAAATGGGAGATTGATTAGGAAATAAAGAAAGCTGCGAAAGCAATTTGATTTTATCAATCAGGGGAGATAAAAGTTCATTTCAATACAGAGTTCTAAACACTCAGATTTCATTTTGCAGCCAGAAGATATGTAATGGTAATCAGCATACTTTCACATTAGGCTCTCTTTTTAGACTAGAAGTTTGTGGAAGCTGCTGTGCAAGGTGGATGCCTTTTATTGGGAATAATATAAGCTTTGGTCTCTTGCTCAAGGAGATTTTAGCTTTTTTAAAGACTGGTGAGAAATCCCCGGGCAACTTCTGATCACTAGGAAAAAATATGCACTCCCCGACTAGATGGTGAGTGGTTGCTGGCTGTTTGTGGGTGAAATTAGTCGCAAAGAAGATGCTAAAAACCTCCTTGTGGCTTTGTTTGCTAGCAAATTGCTGAAGTCACCTGTAGTTTGCATAGAAAATGCTAACTTGTCTGCCAACCACTCAATAAGCGGTTGCCAAAAGTGACGCAAACCAAAAATGCTTGCTTTGCTTTCAAATTAAGAGTTGCCCCTTGCTGCTGCAACTAAGACATTTAAAAGGGCGCAACTTTCACTTTTGAAGGCAAATATTCTCATCACAAAATGTTCTCTCTGCACACAGTTTCACTGCCACGGAGAGGGTAGTTTGCAGACAAATCAGCATCTTTATGTAAGAGTGGCAATCTGCTGGCAACCAAAGCAACTGCATGGAGGTTTTCAGTGCACCACTGTATACGTCATTGCAAATGATTTTACCTAGCAACTCTCTAGCTGTGATAAGATGCAGTAGCACAAACAAAGTGTAGCTGCGAACATGCTACTTTGGACTTGAATGGTGTAGTACAGTAAAGCCAGACATTTGATGTCTGAGCCAATATTGTTTCTTCCCTTGCAAAGTTAATCTCGGCATCAGACAGAATGTGGAGAAACCGCACAGCAAACATTTGAGCAGTAGCTCCTGCTCTGTACTGGTATATGCAGGTGTGTATACAGCATTTTTGCAAATGTTGGTCCTTGGATTCTTGGTTGAAATTGATTATGAAAGCTGTATTTTTAAGGTTGAAAAATATAATCCACAACATTGTAGAACAATACACTGTTATTGTACAGTACTGAAAAAATATTTTTTGTTAAAGATATGGCAGGATCCAAAGACTTTTATATGGAAGCAGCTAAAAGGATACTGTGTTTTAAATCCAACAAATTTTGTGAATTAAAGGGGGTAAAAGTACAATCTTAATCATAAATGAAGGATTTAAAGTCCTCGTTTTTAGTTTCTTTCTGCCAACCCAGTGACACTTGGCAGTGCATCAGCACCAGCTGTGCATCATGTCTGAGTCTGAGTTGTAGAACTCACCTAAAGAAATCAGGATATATCAGAGTGTCAACTATGCTGCCACATTTGACTTGTGTTTGCTTGAAATCCTTAGGACTCCATTTATTGTACAGAATGAAAACTCACTCGTTTGGTTGGAGTAATGCTGTCAAAGAGTAATGCGCTCTTACACATGAAATGCCCGCTTCTCAGAAGATTTATCTCACCACAACCCCCTGCCCAGTTAACGACTAGCTCACTTTCACATTCAGTGACCAGTGCAGTGAACAGACTTGGACATCAATATCCAAACAGCGCAGGTGGTCTTGACTGTCCAGCATACAGACACAGACACTTATTTTTGCTTTGCGAATTGAGTCGGTGTGGTTCGGTTGCTCTGTCATTCATTTCTTGTTCCATTTATATTTGCAATACAGGACTCCGACTGTGTCAGATAACATGGCTGTCTTGACAATAAGTTCTGCTCCTTGTTCCTGGAAAAATGGCTGTTAATATGTCTTGCTTTGTGTTTACATTTATGTTTGTCCAGGTGTCATGTGCGTCACTTCGAGGCAAGAAAGCAGACCAGGAAGGGTCCATTGGGGCATGGGCTGTGTGCCTAGATCCCAATTATAAACTGATCCGCAGGATAGAGAGCAGACACTGCAGGGTGTACTCTTTTGGGTGAGTATTGTTTGTTAGACACTCACACATAATTTTGTTTTTGCTAAATGTGTGTTCCCTTAACAAGGAATTGTCCAATATATAGGGAATGGAGTCAACTGTAGTCAACAGTGACGGAATTATCTGCAGGTGACACAATTATTCAGAGCATCTCGTTCTGAGACAGGCTGTGAGATATCTGCTGGTAATCAAAATTGCCACAGCTGTTAGTAAACTTTATAGTAAAGTAAAGTTTATTCTGTATCATAAAAATATATTCAATGTCTATTTTCACACACAATAAATGAAGTGCGTGTCTTTCTCCACCTTCCTTGTTAGCCTCATCTTTTCATGTCCTCGGCGACTAATTGTACACTGAGTATGATTTTATTTTGTCTTTGTCTTTCTTCTTACATTGCTTTTGTCTTCGTGCAGTTCCATTTTCACTCTGCACATTTTCCTTTAATTTGTTGTCTTTTGTTAAACTTCAAACGTCATAACTATTCTACCTTTGGTTCCTTTAACTGGATTGGCATGTAACCCTGACTTCAGTCAGCCAGACCACCAAGGCGTTTGACCTTCTTAAGCCCAGGCTGTCATTCACTCTTAGCTTTGTGCCATGGATCGGCTCAGTCTAAGTCTGCTCGGCCAATGCTGAGGTGCAGCAATGGTTGAAGGGATTTTTCTGCTGGGAGAGAAGGCTTATTAGTTTGACCGTTGAGAGACAGCACAGGTGTGCTGGCATCAAGGCAAGCGAGGCGCAGATAGGTGTGGGAGAGTGGCAGGAGGGGCGGGGAGGTCAAAAGGGTGTCAGAGGCCAAATAGACAGGAGAAAAAAACATATCTGATATCCTCTGGCTGACTGCAACGGCACTCTGTGCAGACAAGCTACATGGACACGCACTAAAATTCAAATGAGTTTTATCAAACATCTCAGAGATTGATGCAAACATTTTGATATTTGGCTTGAATATTGGCTTGGAAAATGTGACTCAGATCTAATTTTTCAAATCAATGAAAGCTACTTGGCGATCTCTTCCTATCTAACTGATCACTTAATACCTCTGGAATTAAATCAGTTTACACTACGTCAACTCAACTCTGTCGAATACAGTAAAAGCGAGTCCCAAAAAGACATTAAATTCTTTAAAAAAAATTAAACTTCCCGAGTAACAAAATAAATTTCCTAGAATCTCACGGAGAGAGTTAATCAAGTCAGCCTGCAAACTGCTCTCTGAAGTTCCTCCCCATGTCCCCTATCTGACCTACATTCATTACACACACACATGCGCGCGCGCGTGCATACACGTACACATGCTCTCACACACACTTCTTGGTCATACTCTTGCCTCTTTGCCAGGTATGTTGAGCATCCTACTCTCAGGAGAGTTTCTCTGACTTGCAAAGCCCTCAACTGTAGTCAACTGCAGAAGATTAAAAGGGATTTAATAGAAAAGCCAAATGCTTTTAGTACGCCTCTGTATGTGCCTTTGAACTCAGCACATTATCTAGGTACACTTTCGTGTGTTTTGCTGTACGTGTGCAGCTGATACATCTCATTTGCATGATGTGCAACGAGCCGGGGATGGCTGTGCCTGGGAAGGATGAGCAGCTGTTCACTGATTGGTCTGTCATATGTTGGTGTATAGGGGGGGACGCAGGATGTTTTTCCACATGAAAGACCAATTATCCACCTTTTCCACTGCTGTAAAAACAGCCCACATTCTGCTCAAATTAAAGCAGGCTTTGTTTAAACTTGTATCCCTTGTCTTCCGTGTATTCTTCAGTATTTGTATAATTAGTCCATCTGCCTCCGGTGGAAAGAACTTGAGATCGAATATTGAGGTCCAGCATTTTTAATACGCTACATAAATAAAGTGACTTGACTTTTAACATAAATGTGGGCATGTGAGATGCTGCTAGTGGATAACAGCATTAATACCTGCAGTATAGCTAGTAGTAACGGTGGCTCTGGCTTGTCATGCTTTGTTTCCTTTAGCTCCCCTTCTGGGCAAAATTAAGAAAATATGATAATCAGCCATCTCATCACCATTACCTATTGTTCTTCCCAGAGTAAAGGCTGTTTGGTGATTTTTAGGAAGTTAACCAAGCATTATTCTATGAGTGATGGCTTTAGTATGAACTAAATAAGTGTAACAAAACCCCCACAACCAGTTAATAACCATAGGTTTTATATAGAAGCTGGACGAAGATAGATGTGAAGCCAAGCCCTGCAACAGACTGGCAACCTGACAGGGTTCTAAGAGACAGTGCTAAGAAATTCAGTGCTAAATATATACACAACACATATACTCTTATTTCACTCATCAAAACTGTAGCACAGGCTTATTAAAAAAGGCTAATTGAGATTTACAAATCAGTGTATTTGCAGACGTCTATTAGACATTTCTTCCTGTGTTGGCAGCAACCCATCAGTCACAATAACCTGATAATAATCTAAATTTTAAAAAAAAACAAGCTTAACATGAACAGTGTTGCGAAAAATGGTTAAATTAGCCTGTGAGGACCTTTTTTTAATGAGGCTGTCAAGATGTTTACTTCTGATTAAGATGATTTCTGCTGTAAAGTTGGGCATTTAAACATTAGTCAAGTGACCACTGGACAAACTGTAAGTTTGGGGTTTTTACTGTTTTTAATGACATCAGCGATCAGTAATCCATTAGTGTGACAGTGAACCTGAAACCATAACCTTGAAATTGACGCAGCAACAGCAGTGTTAATTTAATTATTTACACCTGTCATTTTCCTGCGAGATGCTGAAAAGTTTGTTGTTAAAATTTGTCGTTGACTACACCTCCACATTTTCTATTTCGCAGGTAAAACTTTGGAGGGGCAACATTCAAGTTCACAGATAATATTGAAAATGTTTGCTCAGATCATACTGTCTCATTTTTAGTCAACATTCAAGGAGACAGAACTGTGAAGTCATGTTGGATTTGCACATGAAGAGCAGAAAAGATTTCTGCTCTGAAACTGGTCTAAACTTGACAAGTTACCTGTAGAATGAATGACACAACTTTAGAGCATCAACACAGGCTAATGGACACGAGGGTGAAAAACCCCCCAACAAACAAACAAAAAAACCTTTTCACATTTAAAGGACATGTTTATTCATGTCCTTTGGAGACAAATATTGTCATAAAATTGGGTTTTGTTCCTTAGCTCTGAGTTTTTCTATTAGTATTTGGACTGCAATGGGTTTTATTCCTCTTATTGCTTTATTTCTAGTCCATTAGGATTCCTGTGTTTATGGTGTTTTGTAGTTTTACTATTTTCATGTCGTTATCTTCTTGATTATATTTTCAGTTTGGCCTTTGGGTTTCCTAGTAACTCTAAATTGACTGGTATAGAGCCCCTTTCTTCTCTACGTGGACCTTCAAAGAAACAATACACATCTTGTTTCTTTGCCTAAGTGAAATCAATATAACAATCAGACCCTGATGAATATGTCTCAAGTAACTCGGGGTTCAGTATCTTGTCCGAAGATAATGGAGCCAGGGGTCGAACTGCTATACCTGTGCCTGAGGCAAAGCCACGCCAGTGGTTATGGTTTTTTGCCACCAATTCCCTTGTATCTTGTCCAAGTGTGAAATTTAAAGTGAGAGACAGACAGTGACAGAGGCCAGAATGAGAAAAAACTGGCACAAACTGGGACAGTTTCTCGACCCACCAAGGGTTTGTTAATCAGCCCCAGACTTCACCACACCCAGACAGGCTGCTGACATAATGGGTCAGGTGGATTCATAGCTCTTTATTACATTTACAATCCTCTGGGAGTTTGTGACCAAGAATCTAAACAATCACAGATCTTCATATTTGGTTACATCAACAGCAGTCTCCTTACAGCCTCTATAAAGAATGTGTATGAAGTAAATTTCTTTCTAGAACACCCACATTTATGTAGCCATTCATCCATTATGTTACCCCTCCTGCTCTCATGAGAGACCTAGTAGAGACCCTCCTTTATGAGCATTGTTATTCTGAAGGGCATGTGATGCACTGTGACTCCCCCCTTTTGCTCCTGCCGCCTCATGAGTCATCCCCGATCCCCGTAGTTTCGCTGCACTGATTCTCAGCCGCTCACCAAAACCTCACCAGAGAATGAAAAACTCTCAATGAAATATTTAGTGCTTTAAAAAGAGACATCTAGTTGCATCTCAATCCCTCACATATGCTCATTTCTCATCTTCCCACCAGCGTGATGCATTTGGGGACCCGGTGCCTCATCTGTAAAAGACGCGTACTGTGAAATCTACTCCCTTTGTCACGATTACAGAATACAGCCGCCGCGCAAACAAGACACAGGGGAATGCAGATGCAGAGACAGTGACAGGAAGAAAAGGAGAAAATTGTGGAATTAGAGAAGGGAGGGGTGGAATAAACAGTGAACAGCAGTGAGAGAGGTTAGTGAAAAAGTGCGGGGAGAAGGGAGAGAAGGCATGAAAGCGACAGAGACACGAGGGAACGTGTCTGTCTGCTTAGATTTACACATTTTAAAATAGAGAAGCAGGCCACTTGTAGGAAAAGAGATGTGGAGAGCAAAGGAGAGAAACATGAAACAAAGGAGACATAAGAGAGAAACACAAGCGTCAAGTATCTCCTGGCTAAAATCTTTATTCCCTTCGTTTGAATTATTGATTCTTTTCTGGCTCGGAGGCCAAGTAAGATCACAGTGACGCCGTGGTGTTATCTTGTCTGTATCCTTTTATCAGTTTTACTCGCTCTGTTGCATTTGACACGTGTAACGACCGGCTAAGGTGCTGTTTCATGTCACAAAACCGATCTTTGGATCTTTGATCAAATGTTTTCGCTTTAGTGGCGCCTCAGAGCACATTTTTAAAGTTTTGATCACTGGAATACAACAGAAGGGCTTCATCCTGCGTTGTTCCCCATATGGAAAAGAAATAGTAAAAACATATATGATTTACTCATGAAAGTGGCCACTTTCTCATTACTTTCATATATTTTATTTAGTAAGTATATAAAACATACAAGTTTCATTATATAATTTTTCAAGGGATCTTATATGTGTTTTCACTCCTGTATGCTTTTCATACAAGTTTCATACAAGACAGATAAAAACTTTATAAGATTTATATATATCTTTTCCATATGGGTCTCATAAGCACTTGGCCCTATCAAATGATGGAGCAACAATAAAGACGATGGTTTTATAGTAGGCAACCAATTTCTAATGAAATCCAACCCTGCATGAAACAAACACGCATTGAAGTTATACAGCTGCATTCATGCAAACATCCCTCTCTAACGATGGCTATTTTTATAAAGTTTTTAATGTGTTTTCCTACCTGACTGTCTGTACCTGTACCACACTTTGACTTCCTTAAAAATGTGCACAAGGGGTGAGATTGTATGAAATTCAATAGCTAGTTGCCATATAACTTTGTCAAAATATCATAATTTGGGCCACTCGTACCACTTAGTCTTCATGTGTCCCATGAAGAATCTCTTCATCTCGTCATTGGAACATTTCACACAAATGAAGTCAAGACGATGAAATATGCATTCCTGTAAATGGAGCTGACTCTCACATATTCGCCCTGTCTGTATTTTTGTGTGTTTTCTAGGTTAGGAGTGGATGACCGGTCCCTGGAAAGTTCTCTCGCCCAATCAGGCTGTGAAGTTCACTGTTTTGATCCCAGCCTTAAGCAGCCTCACCTGCAACAAGCTGAAATGTGGCTCCATCGTCTTTCTGTAGATTGGAGGGATCCCAGCCCGGTCGTTGTTGCCCAGCGTCAGTATGCCAGCACGAAGAAACTAGCCACCATACTTAATGACTTTGGACACAGAGAGGTAAGAGATAGAGAATAGGCCACTGAGGCTCTAGATAGGCATGCTCATGGCATGCACAGCAAGACTGGGGTCTTCCTGAGTGGAGTTTGCATGTTCTCCCAGTGTTGACATGGGTTCTCTCCAGTTTCCTCCCAAAGGGGGCACATACAACCAGTGTAATAATCTAACACCAATAACAACAAAAAAATAACATGCTAGGCTACTCTGCTAGCCAAATTAGCCAAAGATCTTACTAAAAAAAAGAAATAACATGAAGATAATGGAAGTCATTCAACTGCCTGCCCTCCACAGTTAAGGCTAGGCTAGCCACATTTAGTTATTTAGCATTTTATTTAATGGTGGTTGTCTGCTCCGCTCACCTCTAACTTGCTTTTCTCCTCTTTCTTTTTTCTTTTCTTTCCTTTTTTTCTCTGTGGTTTTTCAGTTTGTTTAAACAGAATCATGCATACATAAGTGAGTGGAGTCAGGTGGAGCCCACTTAGGGAGGTCAGGTCAATCCTAGTGGCATTTCATACTGCAAGCTTGTCAGCTCTCAGCGGTCCCACAGCGGTCTAGGTCCCCTAACAGTTGCCTGCCCATGACCCTGAATTTGGATAAGCAGAATAAAATGGATAAATGGTTGTAGATTCTGCCTTAAACCTGATGAAGGTGTTCCTTTATCAACGTCGGCATTATTCATGCATAGCAAGCAAGGGCAGGTTTGCTCCTGCGCGCCTCAACATAAAACAGCTCATTATGATTAATTCCTCTGTCTGTCTTAAACTCCAGGTGAATATCTTCACGTATATGTGACTTTTTTTTCTTGTAAATATGACTGTGCTGGATGTATTACCTCCCCAAAACTCCTCAGGGTTTGTGTTTCACCTCATCAGATAGGGATCTGCATTCACGTTCAATCATAAACACATGCACCAAGCCCAGTCATAGCATGCATGCTAATAAACACAGTTATAGAGCCAACAAGCATGCCTGAATAGGAAGGCTAAATGGTAATTCAAGGTCAAGGAAGCCATGCTTCTCTAAAGAGGTAATTAAATCATGACTTAAAGGCATCAAGGCTGTCTTCTTGTAATATATCCACTTCACCGGGTAACTTTAATAGTTACGGTTACAGACAGAGCATTCAGTTTGGTACATAAATGCCTTGATACCATTAAGGATCCAATATGTAATTTTCTGTTTGTTTGCTTGTTTTTTAAAAGCCATTATTGTCACTTCCCTCAGCCACCTTTTCTGATTATCCTCCTTTTTCCTGTTAGAGGAGTCATAGATATGAGTGATTCCACAGTATTGTGTTTCACACATTTGCCTAACATGTGCGGTATTCTCGGTTTGAGTTCAGGAAGAGGTACAAATACCTCAGAGCGTTGCCTGCCAAATCTGTGGCAACTGCTCATAAGTAAGGGAGCAGCTGAAAGAAGCCTACAGGCACCTGCTAACAGTGCAAATGGCTGTGTTGTGCCACTAATTCTGCACATACACACACACAAAACAGGAATATAACCAATTTCTACCTTGGTTCAAGGAATGTGTGTCATACCTGTAAGTCAGCATGAACTAAAAATATGAAACGGAGTTCAGCATGAAGCTTCCAGCAAAACGCAGCTGAATCAGGTACTTCTCAGCTTGCGGACAACAAACTTTCAAAGGACAGGAAGGACTAAAGTGCACTTGGTAATAAAACTGCCAGTGAAGACACAGTGAAGTTGAAACATTTGTACAGCTGAAGGCTCTTTTGTTGAAAAATGTGAAAGTTCCCAGCAGAAATTGTTCTGTACGTGTAGTGTTGCTGGAAGTATAGCTGCTCTGCAGTACTAGCTTTTACAGTACAGCGAGCTTTATGATGCTGCACAATAAGCCAAATCCTTTTCCCTGAGACTCTGTGGTCACATATGGGTTTAGTGTAAACGGTCATGTTCGCTGATGTGTCCCCCACAGGGACATAACAAGAATCAGTTCAGGGTGCGGCGACCCTGTTTCATGTTATCCCTTTCGCCTTTCACATATGGTTTGGTCCTGCTGATATTATGAGTGGATTATATATATATGTTGCATTTTCTGAACAAATGTGGTGTTTTACTGGCAACAGATTATGATATATTTATGAAATCTGAACAACAGTGGGCATCTGGATAGCTTGGAGACGTGACAGAAGCAGGTGTAAACGCAGATGTGTTCTAGCTGACGTAAACACCCATGATGCATTTAAATCCAACTGTTAAAGGGTGTGGGTGGCTTTTAATTATTGTGAACACAATTTGATAGTCAAGTTCCTGCTTATTTGTTTTCTTTGAAATTCACTGGTGTATGAAAAAAACCAAAGAAAACCAAACTGATTCATGAAATTTGGGCTCCCACTCCACCCTCAGGATAAAGTGTGTGTTTTACACAGAGGTTATCCTTTTTTCTGTTTTTTTTTTTTTTTCTTGGGGTGAGCTTTGCAGAGCATCTGTATCACCCTCCAGGGCAAAATCTTTTTTTTTTGCATCACTACTGTTAACACTCTAAAGTTTATTCCACTAACCCTCTCTCCTAAAATAAAGTGAACATTTCAGTTAATATATATTGATTGCTAGCTGGGCTTATCATTGTTTTTTTGGTTTTAAATAGACTAAATTTAAATTAGACTAAAGCAGAATCCCTGGCAAAGAAACCAGGTGCTTTGCTTTAGCTGATTTAAGCTGAGCGGTTCGAGTTGTTAAACCCTTTTCTGCAGGTAAAAAGCAAACAGGCAAATCATAGAAGGTATTTGCAAAGATATGAAGATGTCGGTGTGTGACGAGATATGAACAAATAAGGGCTGGCGTGTTTACAGTATGTGTGGGTGGGTTTGTACACCATGCTGCGTTATAGATAACACACCTCACCTGTTTTAAATGCAGAGCCACACATGCATTCTTGTAATGAGGTTTTAATGTGAGTACACAGTGTGCCGGAGGAGCAAGCAGCAAACAGCAGGAGAACTGTTTCTTCTCCAATCCTCAGCGACAGGAAAGGCAGCAATCAAGAGACGGGAGTCGCTCTGAAAGGTCAAAATATGCATTTGTGCGGCACTTCTTATCTCTGTTAGTTAAAAAAGAAACACACACACACACACACACACAGATGACTCATTCACACAGCTCTAGTGACCAGCTGACACAGCGCACACACTGTCACGGCGGGTGCAAATGTCAGTAGCAGGAAGTCACATCTCATTTAGCGAAAAAGAGCTGCACATTGGACAATCGATCATGGCAGTAATTGCGTAACACTGCCCAGAGATGCTACCATACGGGATTTAATTAGCCTAAGCAGAAAAACTTACATCTAACAATCTTTGGACTAAGAATGTGCTTTTTGTGCCTAAACGATGCACTGAAATAATTAGAGAAAAAAATGTTACACTCACGCATTTTTGCTTGCTTTTTAAATGGTTGCAGAAATAGCCCAAAGAGAGGTTAATGCAGCTGTTGAAGTGTTTTCACCAACCTTTTAGATTCTAGTAAAATTAATATTTGGAAGTATGATCTGCTCTTTGGTGGCATAGTCACCAATAAAGGCACACATTCCTAGTAATAATGTCAGGATTTGTGTCCTGTTTGGCTGGTCAGTTGAGGTATTCTGTGTGCAATAAAAAGAAAAAATAAAGTCTGGGTAATAGCTAGGATTTATCTCAAATAAATACATTTCCATTTAATTAACAAGCCCGAATGTAAACTCCCATTTTGCAGTTCTGCTCTCAAATCAGCAAACTTGTTTGTTTACACAGACTCAGACAACTTTTTATCAAAAGCCTCTCTAAAATGAAAATGTGTTCCAATGCCTAATGCTGAGATTGCTGTACAGAAGTAATCACATACATTATGACTCACTGGAAGCAGAGGAACTCATTGCTCATTGGCTAAAACCGTTTACAGCAGTCTCACATTAATATCTCTGTTAGGGAGGGCAGGAATTTCACAGCGTGCAAAGTCATTTGACATAAAATTGTCTATGGAGGCTATCCACCGGGGCTGATCAGCTTCATTATTGCAGAGTCAATTTTTCTTTGTGTTTTGTGTGTGTTTCAAATCTAATCCTGAGTTCTAAATGAATTTTAATAAGACAGCCACAGAAATGCATGCTTTTTGATTTGCTGGCACAGTTTAAAATTCAAATGAAGCTTAAAAGATAAAAGTTAACATTGTTAAATATAATAAAATATAAAATACAAACAGATCGGGATTGCTCGTGGTGATATGGCCATAAGCGTACTATCGTGAGTGAATTCATAGATGTACATAATGGTTGTCTGTCACCCCCATGACCTCCTTTTTTTGAACCTGACTGCATTTCTTTGCTTAGTTTAAATGTTGTCCCTGTGCTAGTGTGGCTTTTCTCCAGATACTCTGGCTTCCTCCCACAGTCTGAAAATGTGCATGTTGGGTTAACTGGATTGACATAATGTGAGTGTGAATGTTTATCTGCCTCTCTGTGTTGGACCTGTGCTAGACTGTTGACCAGTTCAGTGAGTACAATCCATTTAGAAGACCTGAAAATAAAAACGCTCGCTTGTCTGCAGTTAAACATGAAGCCAAAGGAAATCAGAATATTTGAACAGAAATAACCCCCATGCTCCACCCATAGACATGGATATGGGACCACAAAGGCAAAAAGGCCATTTCTGGGAAGTCCACGGAAGAGAAAAATGACGACAGATAGAGTGAAGCTGTGTGATCATCTATAATCCTTACAACACAACACAATGTACACACACATAAGCAGATAGAAATTACATTAGCATTAGTTTTCAGCGATGTCTCATCATTTTCCATCACGTGATTTTTGTCCAATTAAAAAAAACAACATGTTTCTGCTTGTGGGAGTGAGGGACAATGATGGGGAGGACAGAGGACGATTTTTTGCCACAGTTGTTTTTGAATCCTGTTCAGTTACACTAATGAGGTCTGGGGATATTGTGCAGTGTCAAATGCATCAATTGGAGAGGAGCTTGTTTAATATATATGCTGCCATACCACCCGACACTTAGTTTAGCTCAAGAAATATTATCAGCCTATTTGTTTAGGGTTTTTTTTGTAGGAAAGACTATTTAATGCACTAATCCCTGATATTTTCTTTGGTTAATGTATTATTGACTATGGCTACATGATGGAGCAAGACCTGAGAGGAAACCCAATGTCCTCAGGATATGCATTAAACTTTGAGCATGCATGAATGTCCTTACATGAATATGACCTAAGGGTGCTATTAACATTCATCTTCTGAAGCATTTCCTCCCTGCTCTATCACAGCAAGTCTTGTCAGGCTGCTCTTTCACTCAATCCATCATCAAGATCACCGGCGCAGAACAAAATCAAGCTTCACTTTTCATCTTTTAATAGCTTTTGCATGTAAGAACTCCATGCAGCTTGGTGTCATTTATTACCTAAACAAGATTCATTTAAATCTGAAGTTTTTCTGGTTGTGTTTCAGGTGGATGTACTGAAGGCAGACATGGAGAGTGCAGAATGGAAGATTTTGGAAAATTTGATCCTCGAAAGAGTTCTGGATTCAGTGGGACAGCTGCTGCTGGAGCTTCACCTGCACTGGGCAGGCTTTGAGGTGGGTGGCGATGAGCCATCTGTGGTGCGGTACTGGTACAGCCTGCTGAAGGAGCTTGAGCGCTCCGGCTTCCACCTCTTCCACATCCACAGCGATCCTGCCAAACCTCACATTTTTCTACAGAAGAATGTGCTTAATGCCAGCAGTGCTTACACCTTGAGCTGGGTGAATACTCAGTGGAGGCCTTTAGGGAAACCAGATAGAACTCAAAAATAACTTTTTACCGTCGCTGATAACTGGAAATCTGAATGTGTAACATGGACTTTCTGGGGCACAGCTCTCTTCAAATACACTGCTCTTATCTGGCCCGACCTTTGAAAAAAAAGAAAAAATCTCTGCTCCTACTTATCCTCCCGCTCATCCTCTGCTGGCCTGCGATGACCTAAGCCAAGTAAAGGAGCAGCATAATTACCTCCAGAGGCTCTGTGTTCTACCTCATAGTGGCTGTATTATTGGCTGCAGGAAAGTCACAGTCAAAATCATCAAGGTCCTATCTAAGCCTGGCCCAAAGCCAGGCAGTTCTACCTGATAGTAGACAGCAGAAGTCCATAGACTACGCAGCTCACGAGCTAAATTATGAATTCAAGGAAGCGGATACAGCGTTACAGGGTCACCGACAGTGAGTGAATATTTTAAGGAGGCGGGAAAGAGACGGGATCTGCTCCCGAAGAAGTAGTTTCCATGCATCACCACAGCATGACAATGTGATAAATGGGACTGTACACTTGTACAGAGTTTGCCTGTTGGCTATTTAAACGTGGATATTTGTGCAAGTAAGAGAAAAACAACTGTAATTCCAGTTTCTGGAATTATAATAGAATACCCCCCCCCCCCCCCCCAAAAAAAATATTCACACATAAGAATTTTACACCATCAGTTCCCTTCCTCGTGTTCAGCTGGCGTTTGTCTGTTCAGCACCGCAACACTGCCAACAATCAGGAAAAGTAACACTTTAAAATAACAACATTATTCAGTTATTGAAATTTACCAAACCTTTTGATGATGAACCAAATTTGTCCTCATGATTTTGATTTTAAAGAATAAACACTTTGGGGGGGGGGTTTTTCCCCCAAAGGAAGGAGTGCTTCGTTTTTTGAAAAGGTAGACTTTAGGTTGTTTATTTCCACAAAGAGATGGCCATACAGCTGAAAACAAAGAATATATTTTATCAAGAATATGAAAGGTATACTACCAGAACATTGGAAAATACAGTAACAAAAAAAAGAAACATTAAGAATAACAAGGTACCCCCTGCAATACTTCTTCTGCAGTAGGAACAATCCTTTGAAAGTTCTTAGTCATGTAATATCTGTACAAACATTACATGACTAAGTATTTTGATCTTTCACAGGGTAAAAAACAAATACACCTGTACAATCAGACTGGATGCCAGTCTTTTGGCTTCGACTCAAAAACAGTTCCAGACCATGAGACAATTGGCCTCCTCCTTTTTATTGAACCAGTCAGGTCATGTCCATTATTTCCAGAAACCCGTCCTCAGGGACAGATCTAATCCCAGAGTTTTATCTGTCCATCCCAGCCACAGGTGATGACCTTGGAGGTTTCATGTGGATGCCACAGGGCGCTGATGCACACCTTGTCATGAGCCTTGATCCTGTGATAAAGCTTGGTGGTTTTCCAGTCCCAGATGTTCAGCTTTCCATCTGCATCTCCTGACACCACATAACTGGTAGAAAGAAACGTGTTTCATAATTAGCACATGGTTATAAAAATAAAGAAATAACTTCTGTCTTCACTTCAGCAGCCAAAAGGTGGGAGTTGGAATTTTTGGTATTTAATCTAGGCAGGGGTTGCAATGTTGCCATGGATACTGAAAGGAAGTGAGGGCACCTGCTCACAGTCGTGGGTGGTGGGTGAGAAGAGGGACAAAAAAGGGTCTTAATGGGCGTTTTGTGTAAAAATAGGACGATGTCCTGTGAGCTCTCCTAGTGATGGCTGTATGTTTGTTTTTTTTCGCCAAGAGTGCTTCATTACCTGGATGCATTTTAAAGCTCAGGATGAGAAACAGCTTACAGAATACAAGCAAAGATATCTCAATATACTGATCATCTGCACAATGGTGCATTTGGACTCAGTTTTTAATTCACCCATTACACTAATAGCAAATTTTTATTCATAAGTACCGTTTAGTATTTACTAGTGGAATATTCTAAAGCTTTAAGCATCTCTACTTTGTGGTTTCTGTCAGAATAAAACTGCCCTTCAGAGTGACATTGTGAAGGCTTACCTCATGTCTGGGGAGAAGTCCACTTGGCATGCATAGCCAGCTACCATGTGGCCCTTGAAGACTTTCTTTTTGTTTAGTCTGAAGCGGTTTTGGGCTCCAAAGATCAAAATCTGGTTGTCCATGGACTGACAGGCGAGCCATTTACCTTAAAAAACAAAACAATAAACCATTGGCCAACTATGCTGCAAAGCACTTGTGCCCTTGATAACACAATACACATTTCTTGCAAAAAAAATCAAAGAGAAAACAAAAGCATTTTTGGTTGTTCACATTGAAATTTCAAGGTAATGTTTGAATTCAAATTCAAACGCTTATAAACTTTAAAAGTTGTCCCCAAACCTTTTAAATGTATTATTTGCATGATTCTGTACAGCCAAGTGTTTAACAAGCAGCCCCTCAGATCTTCAGTGCGGTATTTTGATGACACTGCTAGCATGCGCTAAACCTGACAGTGCAAAAACTGTGATCTGGAGGGACATTAACTAACAGCAGCTACACAGTAAATGGTAGAAACTGCCTCATGGCCAAAATTCTTCAAAACAGCAAAACTGGAAATTTGGATTGAAGTGGACAGCCCTTTGAAAAGGGCATGAACTCATCATTCTGCCATCAGTGAATTGGAAAGATTGAGGCAATTTAGGGAAAAAAAAATAAAACGAGGTTTTGCATCAGTGGCTGCTCAGCAGAGATCTGCTTTAGAGAGCATTTCAGCCCCTGACAATCCAACAGTTTCAACATCACTGCACGATGGTGAGAGGCAGTGCTTTAGTGTCAAAGCATTATACAATTCTCCGCACTTTTTAAAAGTGTACATGAGGAAATTACTAATTCGATCTGAGAAAGAAATGCAGTTCTGATATGTGTGTCCTCTTTTTACACCACTTCCAGAAAACTTGTCAGCAAATGTCAAATAGAATAAGTGCAGGAGAATGAAAACAACTTGACCAATTTCAGCAGCGCACTGGAGCTCTGTCTGCTTAGTCAACATGAAAAAGAGATGGGGAAGAGCAGGGGGGGGGGGGTTGTTGTATATATGGTGCCAAGTGGGGCTGGGTGCCATTTAGGCTTGAGAGAAAACTGAATGGTCTCCCACTGAGAGCTCATTCATTATTCACATGCTAAAGATAAACAAACCACGCTGGAACAAATACGAATATTGCCCAAAGGAAGAAGGCAAGTACGAAGAGAAGAGGAGGAGAGAAAAAATTAACGACTGGGGGGGGAAAAAAATGTAGAAAGGAAAAGAACAAATGAGGACAAAAAAAGGTTTTTGTAGGTTGCCTACAGAGATATTACATAAATTACAATGGAGATGTTTCCATGGATACAAAATGGTAGTGTAATATACTTGGGTGGGGGGCAGATTCTCCTCTGCTAGGTTCTGCTCCATGTGTGGGGAAGAGCTTTACACACAGAACACACGCATTCAAGCAGACACACAGGGTGAAACTGGGAGCAGTGGAGAGAAGCAGCTCAACCAAGGACAGTCCTGGAAACTAATGACTACCAGCCAAAGTTAATCCTGTACTAACAGGCCAGCTTCAACAAGCTATGCTTCATCTGTTAAATTTTGTGATCATGCGTCTACATCCCTACAACAAGCCCAGGCATGAGGGCTAGAGCACATGTTTATGCTCATATGTTTTGGTTATGTCCCAAATTATCCAATTGCTCATGTCCAATACATAAGAAGTTTTCTAAATTTATTGGAAAATAATATTTCATTGTTACCCCAAATGCAGCCTTTTGTGGCAGGAAGGTTCATCTTCACAAATGGAAGGACAGCGTATTAGTGACATCAGATACTTTTTACAACTTGGGGAGGGGAAAAAAGATGCACTGCTTAAAAAAAGGATCTATTAAACTGTTTTCTGTCTTTGGTGTCAAATATAGAAGCAAAAGATCTGTGATGAATAAGTGGCTTTCAAAATTCATTTTCTTTTCTTTTGTGTGATCTGACTTATGCTTTTTTTCTTTTATCCTGTGATCAGGGCACATTTTTGGTTATATGTGATCACTTTTATATTATAAAAACAAATAAATGTCTTGATCAAGAAAAAAAAAAAATCACAGTGGAAAATATTACCTTGGCTACTTTTGTGGTAATACTTGATCCATGTTGTATCTCCTATTACACTATGCTGCTGGCACCATGTAGTAATAGATTTACTAAATTCTTTCATCAATGGCTGTAGCTCATATGGAAAAAACAAAGATGAAAAATGCCCTTTATTTAGTTTGCACTACAAACGCTACTACCTGCAATCACAGATAAAATGTTACAATTTAAAAAAAATCCTGAGTAGTTTTCAGAAAAATTCTCTTATGAAGTGAGACCACAGCAATAACATTACAAATTTTCTTGATATAATTGTGATTTAATTTTGAGGCTTTTATTGCCCACTCCTATTATGTAATCTAAAATTTGTTAACTGGGTCTAATCAACATAACATTTCCTGGCTGCAGCTTATTTACAGTACAGGTAAGAGTACCATAACCTCGGTAATTGGTAAGAATATGAATGGATATATGGATCTCACAGAGTGATACTGCTCTGAAATCTGGCGGCACTGAATGAAGGCATGGTAAAGGTACTTTACACAAAAAGAAATGTAAAATTCAGCAATTACAAAAAAAATTACAGGCTTATAACGGAGTCCTACAACCCTGACCTAAATCTCTACTATCAAAGAAGTAAAAGCTTTGCTCGTGTGGAGAAAGACATCAACAATCAACAATCACATTTTTGCTCCCCATCAGTTTAGAAGGGTTATAAGGCCAAATTGATTTGAAGTCCATAATTCCACAATGAAAAAGTGGAAAACATTACAGTGCCATTAGAAAGAGGGACTGAACAAGTGTGGCTTGCTTGGAAGGGCTGCCCGAAGAAAGACTTGTCTCTAAAATAAACATGGCAGCTGCACTGAGTCCTATGTGTACAAAAGGCCAGCCAGTCGGCAGAACTCACGAACGGAGCCACATCTGCTGAGTAAGATATCAGCATACTGCTGCCGTTTAGCCAATGAGCGGTGAGGCAACCCATTCTCGTGACCTCCTCCATTACACTATGAAAGCCCTCTTTTTCACACGATGGTATGCTAACTGACAGTATACAGTCATACAGCTGTTCATCTTAAAAATAAATAGCATTGGGTGCCAGTGTAGCTCACTGATGGAGCAGTCAACAGGTCCTAGGTTTGAGTCCGACCCATGGCCCTGTGTGTCTTCTCTTGTTCCCTCGCCCCACTTCCCTGTCTAATCTTACTGCTCCAGTGTCCAAAAGGCAAAATTGCTCAAATATTAAACATTTGTTTTGACATCAAATGTACACAGTTTAAGTCACTCAAGTGTCCAAATATTTCTGTTATCCAACAGTTAATGCATTATCTGTGACGATTAAACAGCCAGAGCTAAACACAGAACTGGAAACACAGACAGCTGACATGTATTGATAGAAAATCTGGATCTCGTGGCAAGCAGAAATCTCCACGTACAACAAACTTACTACACTGAGAATATCTGTTTTTCCCACCTTGCCTGAGTGATGGCAAATCTCAGAAGGTGTGACTCTACTTCAGTGTGG